CGGGGCGTCCCAGTTTGGTGCATCGAACCTGATGCAAAGGGCTGTGCCGATGTCCTGGTGGGTAGCGGCTGGGGCCATGAACCCCATTGGGTCACGGCTGGAGCCCGTGTTGCATGCAAAGGCACGGTGCAGTTTGTGTAGTTGATCTCGGATTGCCTGCACAATTCCATCAGCTCGCTCCTGAGCAGTGACTGGTTGGAGCGGTGTTGTTGGTAAACGGTATCAAGGTCGGTGGGGTGTTTAGTAGGACAAGCTCGTCGTAGGTTGCAGCAGTCCAGTCTGCGCCGCCCCTGTTTTGGAGAACGGCGGTGCAGGCCTCTTGGAGCATGAGAAGGCTCTCTGGACAGGAGGCTTTGCGGCCCTTGCCTGGTGGCTTGGGCTTGAGCGAGAGAAAGAAATAACAAGTCTGGCGCGGTTGTGTCGGGTCGTCGGTGATTCCCAAAGTCGTTTCAAAGCTTGTTCCCTGGACCCCTCCCCACCTAGGCCCAGCTTTCCGAGCCGCGCCCTAAGACAGGCGAGAAACAAGAGGAGGCCCCCTCCCGAGCTTCAGGCCTGATCAGGGCCGCCAGAGGCCCATCGGAGAAGGGCCAGCCTCCTAAGAGGCCTTCCGCCCTCCCCCGACCCTCCTGTGAGCGCCGCCAAATCACGGCGCATCTGCCCGCTCAGAATCCGCCCCTGGACCCTTCTAGGGGTCCGCGCAGGCTAGTTTTTCAGGGCCGACCCCGCCGTGGCGACGGGAAGTCTCCCAGAGGCCCGCAAAGAGGCGAACAAAACGCCAGGGAGAGCTCCGCGGCTGTCTCGAGTGGCCCTCCTCCGGGTGCAGGCGTCCTCCCCGCGGTTCGTGCCAGGGCCGTGCGCTGGTCGGGCCGGACGAAAGGGGGGGATTGGGAAAGGGGGGGTACGAAATCTGGTGCATGCAGCTAGTTTCGGTCCCACCGAGGGGCCCATTCCTCGATACATTGCCGCATCCGGCGCCGGGAGGCGCTGGGAAAATCAGCTACGTGAGCTGATTCTCACCCCCCCCCTTTGCTATCCCCCCTTTCGCCCAGCCCGAGCTGCTTCCCTCGCCGCCGGCCGGTGCCGCGCCGCGCCGCGCCAGGGCGTCCCCCGCGGGTGCCGCCCAGGACGGGCCTGCGGCCCCCTGCTGCGGGTCCGGAGCGGCCGAGGCGCCCCCCCACAGCCGCTCGCCCTCCTCGGCCGGCGGGGCCCGTGCACGGTGCAACGGTCCGGATGGTCCCTCTGGGAGGCGTTTCCTCAACCAGACTTTGGCCCGCACCTCAGAGGAGGAAATGGTGCCCATACCACTACAGTCAACCCGCATAGTAAGGATGGGCAACCTTCCCAAGGGTACCCTTGCATCCTTGCCTTCTCGGCCCATCCTTGGCCGCTTTCGTTGGCCGCGACCCCCTCGAAAAGCGTCGCAATGGGCGTCCAAGGCCCTTGAATCCTGATCGCGCATCCTTACTCTACAGGTTGACTGTACCCTTCCCTCGTTTCCCCTTCTTGGACCTCCTGGGAGGCCCTCGTCGCCACCGCTGGATTCGCCTCGAAAATCTGGTCAGAACACACCCTGGGAGAGGTCCGGGGAATAGCGGTATCGGTACCTTTTGGTTTCCCCAGCACCCCATCTTCTTGTTCGCCAGCCCACTTCGAACATGGCAATGATATCAGTGGGACAGAGAGAAAGAGAGAAAGAGAGAGAGAGCCCTGGGCCCACGCCACTGCGGGGAAACATCGTTCAGGATGGCGTCCAGAAGGGGTCCGGGGATAGAATTTGAGTGCGCATTGCCTTCTGCAGGTTGCCAGTCTCGACGCGGCAACGACCCCCTCGCGCGCGTTCAAGATTGAGCATCTTTCGGGGGCCCGCTTCGGTCACCGACAGAAACAACCCACGACACGAAATCTCGATACGAAACATGGGGTCGGCAGCCTCTGGAGCCTATTCGCACGCGGGGATCCTTCGAGACTGGACGGTTCGCGCGGTGGCAGAAAGCAGCGACCACGTCGTCGAGGCAAGGATGGAGCGGGCCGTACAGTGAACCACTGAAAGGATGTAGCCCATTCGCCGTTGTCGCCTCCTCCCACTCATCCGCTACGGGCACCGGGGAAATGCCTCGGGCCAGTCATCCTGTGTTCGCGATGGCAGATGCAGGTTGCTCGTCTGATCATGTGCTGAGCTTTCGGCGCGCCTGCCTCGTCATCGCTGTCCTTCAGCAGAAGATCCTCTTTACCATTGGCCCGCGCACCTTTGTCGTCAAGGTATCACCCAATCCAGCGTTACCTCGGGCGCCAGGAAGAGAGCAGCCCATGACTACCACAGACGTGGACAGCAGCGAGGGGCTGCTGTGAATTCGAAGCGGCAGACATGGACAGAAAACCGTCGTTGGCGCCGATCAATCCTAGACGCAGTGAGTGTTGTCTGCATCCTGGGCCCAGCGCCACCTTTGCGCCAACCGCTCACCCCGAACCAGCCAACACTACATGCGACTTGAAAACCGATCTCGCGTGAGCGCAAAGCCATCGCTGCCTCCTCCTGGCTCGGCGGAGGGGCAGCAGGCGCTGACGATTCAGCGGGCTCTGCGCCCGTGTGGAGGAGCCACTGGCTCAGCAGAGCATCAGGCCAGGCCGCTCAAATGGGACCAGAGTAGATGGGGTCGGAAAACTACATCATATTGCCGGTGTATCGCCGATGCGGCTCGATCTGATGCACGGTGTTCCCCATCCCGATGTCGCCGAGGCGTTCCCGATGCATCGGCGAGACAGTGCGATCCACAGACCCTAGTGTCCAAAACTTGTTGGGAAAATGAGCCTGGCGAAGAATCCAATCATATGCAGTTGTGGGTACAGCCTTTGTATACACCGCATTCGGTGGGGATCCCTATGAGGCCGCGAAGCGTGTGAGGGGTGCTAAAATGGGCGCGGTGCGCGCGTGCGAACGTTGGCATTCGGGCCTTCGGTGGGGCTCCCTATGTGACCACGAAACGTGTGAGGGGTGTGCCAAAATGGGCGCGGTGGGCGCATGCGAATGCTGGCGTTTGGGCCTTCGGTGGCGATCCCCATGGGGCCACGAAGCGTGTGAGGGGTGTGCCAAACTGGGCGCGGTGGGCGCGTGCGAACGCTGGCATTTGGGCCTGGCGGTGGGGCTCCCTATGGGGCCACGAAAAGTGCAGGGGCGTGCCAAAATAGTCGATGTGGGCGCATGCGAACGCTGCAATGGGCTTTCGGTGGCGCTCCGTATGGGACCACGAAGCGTGTGAGGGGTGTTCCAAAATGGGCGCGGTGGGCGCATGCGAACGCTGGCATTTGGGCCTGGCGGTGGGGCTCCCTATGGGGCCACGAAACGTGTGAGGGGTTACCAAAATGGGCGCGGTTGGCGCGTGCGAACGCTTGCGTTTGGGCTTTCGGTGGGGCTCCCGATGGGGCCACGGAACGTGTGAGGGGTGCCAACATGAATGCGGTTGGCGCATGCGAACGTTGGCATTTGGGTGTTCGGTGGGGCTCCCGCTGGGGCCACGAAGCATGTGAGGGGTGTGCCAAACGGGTGCGGTGGGCACATGCGAACGCTGGCCTTCGGGCTTTCGGTGGGGCTCCCTATGGGGCTACGAAGCGTGTGAGCGGTGTGCCGAAATGGGTGTTGTGCGCGCGTGCGAACGCTGACATTTGGGCCATCGGACGAACCGTGAGAGGGGCGTGTCAACATGGGTGCTGTGGGCGCTTGCGAACGCTGGCATTTGGGCCTTCGGTGGGGCTCCCTATGGGGCCACGAAACGTGTAAGGATCGTGCCGAAACAGAGACATGCGGAGGGCACAGGCAAGGAGGGGGAGGAGGGAGGAGGGGGAGGAGGAGGAGAGGAGAGGAAAGAACGCGGAGTGCTGTCTCGTCAAAACGAGGACCCAGCACCACAGGATGGTTGGGACTGATGACACCCCCCGATCCCGATTGCCATTACTTCGCCGCCGAATGATTACGTTGTTTAAGTGTCCCCCACATTGAAAAATCCTCGGGGACCGAGCGATGCGATTGATACATGCACACATGTATGGTTGTATACATATGTGTATGCACACGCACGCACGCGCATGCATTAGTATAGGCGTATGAATTGTGCGCGTGCAGATGTGCAGGCTACTTCGATCGGCGAGTAGGTAGTCTTCATCGTATTGGGACACTGTCGGTACGTATGCGCGCGATTGCGCGCGCGTGTGCGCGGTGGCGCCCAGTTTTCGCACTCGGTAGTATTTGGTGCCCGATGGGCCCAGCGCCCCTTGGACCCGTCTTGGGGCCATCATGGGATCATTTGGAGGCATCTTGGAGGCCATCTTGAGCGGAGGCCATCGTGAAGCACCTTCGGCCATCTCGGAGCCCGGCTTTGGGGGGCCCTCTTGGTACCAAAAAGGGTGCGCAAGGGATGGTCAGTGTGGTTTCTGTCCACGCCAGGGTCGCAGGGTAAGGCTGGCGCGGCGTTTTCTCGTCACCAGTGCGCAGGATGTGCGTGGAGTGGTCCCTGAGCGCGGCCTCGATCCACTCCAGGTCGCAGGGCGTGTCAGGTGTATCACGCTCGCGACCCAGAGAGGGTGTGCGCAGGGGGTGGTCCAGGAGTGCAGTCTCTATCCATGCCAAGTTCGCAGGACGTGGCAGGGTTGGCCTGACGCCCAGAGGGGGGGGCGCAGGATTCCGCCCGTGCACGCGGAGCGCCAGGGCGGTCGCGGGGACGTCCCCGGCGGTCCAGTTTGCCCGGCTTTATTTTTTGTTTCATATACGCATTTCAGCGCTGGGAATAACTATTTGTTGAATGATCCCTCATATTGCTTTTGAAACCCGCTTAGAGACATAATCTGCTCCGCTCCTTCTGGGGCGGCCACCAGGGAGACCAGCAAGGGCGTAGGAGGAGGAGGAGGAGGAGGAGGAGGAGGAGGAGGAGGAGGAGGGACAGGGAGAAGGATACGGAGGAGCTGAAGCTGCAGCAGGAGCTTGTGAGGAACAGGAGCGGGGCGCAGGAGCAGGAGCAGGGTCGTCCGCGTAGTCCCCCCCATCGGATTCTGTCTCACCCATGTTTTTCCTCGCGCCCGGCTTTGCCCCTCTACCTCTTGCTCCTTTCTTGTTCCAAGCCGTTTTAGCCCAAGCCATTTTAGCTCAAGCCGTTTTGGCCCGAGCCATTTTAGCTCAAGCCATTTTTCTGAGAACAAGTTTTGGCGCAAATACTCGACTCGATTATCTCGAGTGTGGCTGGTGCCATAGGCCCAATCGTAACGGCAGTCAGTAATGGCGGAAGTAATGCCGGATCGCAAAGGTTCCGCGACTGGCATCAAGGATGTGGAGCAACGATACCCGATCTCGTGGTCTGGGCTTAGTCATACAGTCTCGTTGCGGGGTGGTAGGAGTAAGACAATTGTGAGCAATGTGTCTGGTCATTGCGACCCAGGACAAATGATGGCCATCATGGGACCCTCGGGATGCGGCAAGACATCGTTGCTTGACCTCTTGGGCGGTCGTGTGGGCAGCGGCACCACCTCGGGCGAAATTCTGATCGGCTGCAAGCAGCACCCCGCTAACATCCGCAAGATCGTCAGTTACGTTACGCAGGAGGATTCGCTCCTGACTTGCTTCACCGTGCGCGAGACGCTGCGATACGCCTCGCGGCTCGCTGCGATCCCCTCGAAGGCCAGAGAGGAGGCAATCCAGCAGGTCATCGTGCAGATGGGACTGCTGGTTTGCGCCGACACCCGCGTCGGAGACCCGCTGATCAAAGGCATCTCGGGTGGCCAGAAGCGCCGTCTGAGCATCGCCATCGAACTGTTGCATCGGTCCCCCATCCTCTTGCTGGACGAGCCGACGTCGGGCCTGGACTCCACGGCCGCCATGCAGGTGATCGAGCATTTGCGCGATGTCGCGCAGAAGGGCCACACCGTTGTCATGAGCATTCACCAGGCGAGCTCCAGGGCATACGGTCTCTTCGACTCGCTGTGCCTGCTGTCGAAGGGCCAACAGGTCTACTTCGGCCCCACGACCGACGTCGCCATCGAGCACTTTGCCGCGCAGGGCCACGAGTGCCCGCGGTATTCCAACCCTGCGGAGTTCTTCCTCGACGTCATCAACACCGACTTCGGGGCAGAGAACGGCGGGGCGAGGCTGGAGGGCCTTGTCAGGGCCTTCGAGAAGTCCGAGCTGGCGAGCTCCATGCGGGAGGCCCTGAGACAGCCAGAGATCCCGCAGGATGGCGGGATCTCCAGGGAGAGCGCAGGCCCGTGCCGCCAGTTTGCCGTCCTGTTGCTGCGGATGCTGCACATGAACTGGAAGAATCCGTACATATTCGGTGTGCGCCTGGCCATGTACATCGCGCTTGCGTTCATGGTCGGAACCATGTACTACGACGTGGGTGAGGTGGCCCGTGGAGGTGAGCCTGTTGCCGCTGCAGCCGCGGCCACCTCGCTCCTGGCTCTGCTGTTCTACGTGCAGGCATTTCTCGTCTTCATGTCCGTCGCGATCCTCCCGTTCTTCCTCGAGATTAGGGACGTCTTCCGGCGGGAGCGAGCCAACGGACAGATCACCTGTCTGCCGTACGTGCTCGCCGACTTCCTCGCTGGACTCCCCGGCGTCACGCTCATTGCTCTGATCTCCACGATGCTCGTCGTGTGGCTGGCGAATCTCAATGGCTTCGCCCAGTTCTTCGCGAACCTGCTGCTGTCTCTGATCGTTGCCGAGTCCCTCATGCACGTGATCGGCGCCGCCCAGCCACACTACATCATCGGCATGGCATTCGGGGCGGGCCTCTTCGGCATGTTCATGCTCTGCGAGGGATTCATGGTCAAGCCCCAGGACATCCCGGACGGCTGGGTCTGGGGTTATTACCTCGCCTTCCACACTTACTCTTTCGAGTGGTTTGTGCACAACCAATTCGACGATGGGACGCTCGTCGGCGAGGCCGTCTTGAAGAGCTTCGAAATGGAGGATGTGGACCCGCTCCGGAACGCTCTCATCCTGTCGGCGTACGCGGCCGTCTTCCAGGCGGCTTACTTCATGGTCCTGAAAGTCTTCCACACAGGGAAGCGTTGAGGGCAGGTTTGCGGCAGCGAAGAGTCTAGCGTGGCGTGAATGCTAGTCGTTGCATACCGATATGGAAGTCGCGGGCACAACGGTCAAGAACATCAATCCGCCTTGCCCATGGATGGCCACCAAACCTGGCCTTTGTTTTGCGCGCGCAGCGATTCTTTTACGATGCTTGTTTTTGTGTGTGCTGTGGAAATCATGTGGAGCCTACCGCCGTTCTGTACAATATGCAGTTCGGCAGCTGCGAAGCACTACGTTGCGTGTGCGTGGAGCTCGCTTGGAGCTGGAGCGCATCGCAGTCATGCAATCCACAGCAAGAATCGCCCCCAGCCCCAAGATGACACGCTTAGACGTATCACGCTGGATGTACATGCTCTGTTTTGCATTTAGGGTTCTAACTCCCATATGTGGAACAGTCGTTGCATTCTGCCATCCTGAATTGCACGCCTGCTGTAATTTGCATCTGTCGCAAAGCCCGTTGTAACAATGTCCATCGCTACTCGGTGTAGGTTCATCCTTCCACCCGTCGGACCTTCGACGCCAATGTTCATAGGTGATGGGCAGTTGCTCCTTTCTTGCTCCATCCTCACCGTGGTTCTCAGCCGATCCCCTTCCTTGTTCACCTGGCCCTGCCCTCATTCCTGCCGCCGCGGTCGCAATTTTCGCCTGCCAGGCTTCTACCCATGGCTTCCGGAGGAGGAGCAGAAGAGGCATGATGAGGGAGGAGGAAGTGAAGGAGGAGGAGGAGGAGGACGAGGAGGAGGAGCAGGACGACGAGGAGGAGGAGCAGGACGACGAGGAGGAGGACGAGAAGGAGGAGGAGGAGGAAGAGAGGAAGAGGAGCCCCTTCCCCCTCAAAACTCTTACTCCTGTCACCCACCCCGCGAGGACGGGAGGCGAGGACGAGAACGAAGAGAACGACGAGGACGAGGAGGAGGTGGAGGAGGAGGAGGAGGACGGCGACGACGAGGCGAGGAGGCCGACGAGAGGAACGAGGAGGAGGAGGACGCGGAGGAGAATAGCGACGAGGAGCACGAGGAGGAGGAGGCGGAGGACAAATAAATGGATGGGGGAGGACGAGGAGGACAAGGAGGCAGGCAGGGATAACGATGAGAAGGACGAGGGTGAGGAGGATGCGGGCAATGATGTCTAAATGGGAGAGGATGGATATGGAGGGTGAGGAAGGAGGAGGTGGAAGGGAGAAGGGTGAGGAAGGGTGAAGAAGGGAGAAGGGAGAAGGTCGAGGATGAGGAGGAGGTGGAGGGGAGGAGCAGGGGCAATGAGGCTCCAGAAAGAGAAGACCAGAAGGAGGAGGAGGAGGAGGAGAAGGAGGAGGAAGAGAAGGAGGAGGAGGAGGAGGAGGACGAGGAAGAGAAGGAGGAGGAGGAGGAGGAGGAGGAGGAGGAGGAGGAACACGACGCCGAGGAAAAGGGCGAGGATTGCAGGAGTAGGGCAACGACGAGGCGGACGACGACGAGGATCACGGCGACGAGGTTCAGGAACGCGAGGCTGATGCGGACGAGGGGGAGGACCCGGAGACCGAGGAGGACCACGCAGCGAGGAGGAGAAGAGGAAGAGCTCACCAGCACGGACGTGGTGGTCATCCGCGGTCGAAGGGTAGAAGCGCCTCCAGCCCGAACCTCTTTGGCGGGAGGGGCCGCATGTAAATGACCGGGGTGGCAAAAAAGGACCTGCCCCCCTGGCGTTGTCGAAAGGACAGCGATCGGAGCAGCGAGCGAGTTGTGGCGATCAGGGTGTGGCACGCCCCGCCTGCACAGCCGACGAAAACAGGCTCCAGCTCTTAGCGCGCTGTGACACGCGCGCTTCGGAGCCCCGGAAAAAGAAAGCGACGCGTCGGGGCATATCCCATCGGCGGCCCAGTGCCAGGGCTGCGGAACAAGTTGCCAGGTGTTCTCGCGCCGCACGGAAAGAACAGGTGGAGAAGCTAGCGCCGATGCGCTAGCGGTGACCAGGAAGTCGCGCCTAGAGATTTTCTTGGAGAGTGGCCCCAGGGGAAGCAGGCATTCGGAATGCCTGCTGGAGTTCGTTCCATGTGGAGTGTGCTCGATGGAATGTGTCAAAGAGGGGTTTTGACTGTTGCTGGATGCTGCGCAGCGAGTGTCCGAGGCTGGAGGCGCGGTGTTGCACCGCCTTGGTGCTTGTGCTTGGGCTGGGTGGTACCAGGGCCTTTTGTCCCATTCTCCTGGTGGCAGAATGCGCTGCGATGGGGGGCGGTGTGCGTCAGCATTGGCCAGCCCAGCGGGCTGGGGCGACGGAGCTGTCACATAGGGCGCAGTCCGAGTCCCCTCACCTACCATGCGCCAGTCCTGTTGTCAGTTGTGTCGGGAGGGACGGTAAGGTCCGCACTGCCTCCCGTGTGGCCCGAGTTGTCCTGCGCATTTTGTAGCGTAGCGCCTGAGGTGGGGTCCTGGTGAATCTTCACCTCTTGAGTCGCTGTTGTCTTGTGCCTTCTTGGACGAGGAGTTGCACCGTCATCTTCTGCGTCGTGACAATCGCTGTCGTGATTTCCTGGTTTGGAAGTAGCGTCTTTCTGGAAGGAGACGGTGAGGACGAGGAGGCGGCCGAGGGAAGAGGAGGACAGGCAATCGAAGATGGACGACGAGGTCGAGGAGCTCGATGAGGCCATAAGGAGGCGAGGGGCATCGGGCCCCCTCCTCCCCCCGATCCTCGTCTTCATGATTCTGACATGATCATTCCTCTTACTACCTTTCCTCCTGCTCGTCGCCCGCCCTCTGCATGCTCAATCCCGCTCCTCAGCCCCTCTCCTCGTCCTTCCAGCCCACCTCGCTCTCCTTCCATTCCCTCCCCGTCGCTCTCACCTCCCCCCTCATCCCCCAAGCGGCGCCAAGGGGCCCAAGGCGCCGTGGTGGAGCGTGGCGGAGCCGGCGCGGGTCGCCGACGCGGCGGTTACGAGTTTCGGAGCGGGGGTCGTCACCGTCGCGTCCGTCGCCGATGCTGTCGCCATTTTCCGCATTTCATCCCCTTCTTCTTGTGCTGAACATTTGGGCGTGCGGGCCTCCCCCCTCCAGTGGAGCAGTGGGAGGTGGGAGGGGAGTGAAGGAGGAGGAGGAGGAGGAGGAGGAGGAGGAGGAGGAGGAGGAGGAGGAGGGAGGAGGAGGGAGGAGGAGGAGGAGGGAAATGGAAAACACGGGGGAGGAGGAGGACAATGAGGAGGAGGAGGTGGAGGAGGAGGACGAGGAGGGAGGAGGGACGACGAGGAGGTTGCACACATTCTACATGGATCGCTGACAAGCATGACAGTTAACGAAATGGAGCCACTTTCAGAAACATCGAAGCGAGCGAAATACGAAATGAATTGAACGAGCGTTTTGACGATGTACGATCTATATGAATATGTGTGTATCCGTAAGGATTTCGCCCCCTGCCGCCAGCCCCCTCTCTATCAGAATGCGATGTATCAGAGTCGCGTCTGTGCGTCTCGGCGCTGCCTTGGCGCATCTGGGAACATCGTGCGGGGGCGGATAGGAATCATCAGCGCATATTGAGACGTAAGGTTATCGAAGACGCCTACGGCTAATCACCGCCGCCCCCTGCCCGTTTGGAAGCGCCTCTGTGGCCGACAGCTGGGCCAGAGCTTGGCCAAGCTATCGGGCCAGTTGGCCAGTTGTTCCCCGAGTCGGTTTGGAAAGACTTCGGGGAACGCATGGGGGAGCAAGAAGAGGAGGAGGGGGAGGATGAGGAAAAAAGAGGAGGAGGAGGAGGCCTCTTGGGCGCCTCTTGCGGCACTCTTGGGGCCTCCTGGGAGCTTCCTGGGGGCCACTTGGAGGGTTTTGGGATTGGACCGTCTTAGGGCGTTCCTGGCTTGTCTGACGCCGTCGGAAGCTTCTTGGGGGCCTGTCTGGGTAGTCTTGGGGCCCTCTTGGGGTATATCAGGGGCTCTTCGAGGCCATTTTGGGCGTCTTGGAGGCCTCGTGGGCCGTTTTGGGGCCGGCAGCGCTGCAACATGCACTAGGCGAAGCGGGGGTCAAGCGCCCGCTTCGGGCGCGCGCACCTGGGGCGGGCGCTGGGAGACGGCGCCCCGCTCTGCGCGCGCCGCGACCACGCCCAGGCGACGGCTCCAGCGGACGCGCCCCGCGCGGTCGCCCGGAGGGCCAGCGAGGAGGAGTGAGCGGAAGGCGACCCGGAGCCCGAGTCAGGTGGTGCCGCTGGCCGCGAAGATGCGGCAAGGCATCCGCGCGGGCGGTCGAGGGCTCCTCTGGGGCTTTCACGGGAGGCGAGGTTCGCGGGAGAGGAGCGGGCTACCCTTTCGGAGGCGTCGCCATGGGAACCATTGTCGGACCTCTCGCGGGCGGAGCTCGGCTTGCCGGCGAGCCGCGCGGCAGATGGCGTGCGGGGGCGCGAGGGGCCAGCGGCGTCGGGCATCGAGCACACGAAGAGGCGTTCCCCAGGGGGGCCGCCCCACCACCCGCCCCCTCGACGTCGCGGAGAGGCTACAGCTGTCGGAGGTTTCGACGACACGAGTGAGGCGCGCAGCGCCGTCGGGGAGTCGCTTCAGCCCGTGGCGGATCGGGCCGTCCTTCGGCGCCGGAGGCAGAGGTCGGGGGACGGCGCGTTTCGCCTGCGCAGGGGGGTGGGGCCTGACGGGCCGCGGCCGCAGTCGCGCTGCGAGGCTTCTTGGCGCGGCCACCGGCTCCGCCGGCGGGGCCGCCGGGGATCGGCCGCCCCGCGCCGCCGCCGGCGCTGCTGGGGGCGCCGGGCCGCGAACGCGGGCGGAGGGCAAGCCCCGACAGGGCGCGGAGAACACGATTGCCGTGGCCCCGAGGAGGTCCAGCGTTCCGGGTGACGAGGCGCGTCCTCTCGGGAGCGACGCCGCCACCAGCCTGCTGGCCGACGTCGCGCGCAGCCTGGGCGTCCAGGGCGAACGCAAGGAGGCATCGCAAGCACGCGGCTCATCGCGCGCGCCCAGGTCTGCAGAAGGTCGCGAGGAGGCGCCGCGGAGGCCGCGCCCACGCGGAGCTCAAGGGGGCCGACGTAATCACTGGCCGCAAGAGGACGGCGGGCGCGGGCATGCACGCCCCCGAGATGCTCGACCGCGCGGTCGACGTCCTTATCGAGGAGACGCCGCGCTTGGGCGCGCACCTGGCCGGCGCCCATGCGCGCGGGAGGGGGGGGGAGAGGCCGCCCCCCCGCCCATTTCGCGTCGCCCGAGAAGGTGGGGGAGGTAGAGGTAGGAGGCGCGGAGACTGAAGCGACCAAGGAGGAAGGCGAGAGAGGCCCCCCTAGAGGGCGCCAGCAGCGGCGCGGCGCCGCCTGCCCCCCGCCCGCCTTCGGCCGAAGGGTGGCCGGGGGGGAAGGGGAGAGAGCCGTGGAGGCTGATGGCGCGGTGGGGACCGACCCCGAGCGGGAGGCGAAAGGAGAAGGGGTGGAAGGCGCAGAGGAAGAGCGCAAGGAGAGCCGAAGGCGCCCCCCGCAGGGGAGCGGCCCAGGTGCAAAGTGGCTGAGACGCCGCATCGGCTTGCCCCAGAGGAGGCGAGGACGAAGGCGTGCCCGGGGAAGGTGGCTGGGGTTTAAGGGGAGAACCGCGGAGGCCGAAGGCGCGGCGGGGGCCGAGCTCGACCGAGAGGCGAAAGGAGAGGGGGTGGAAGGCACAGAGGAAGAGCGCAGGGAGAGCCGAAGGCGCCCCCCGCAGAGGGACGGCCCAGGTGCAAAGTGGGTTGGGAT